TCCACTTAGACTTATGCTCTCCTATACTCACATAATAACCTCTCTATTCATAAGGTGAATAGCATGATAATTTAGTATTCATTAGGCCACAGATTTGCGCAAAACTTTGGTGATATTTGATAAATGTCGATAAAAAAGTATTGCGAAATGACGGCGTTTCCATTAACCAATGTTATGCGACTAAAACGTAACCTTTTGCCTCTCGCGATAAGTCATGGCAACGGATTTTGGTGGGATTTTGACGGATTTTGGCTATATTTATTCAAAGGAGGCGTATGCGTGTATCTTTACAGAAGCAGCACAGAGAGCCGCTTCAGAAACCTGCGTGGCGCGGCTGGATTCTGGAATAAACACAAGCATTGAGTGGCCGCAGTCAGCTTCAGTGGCCGTATCAGAGCCACACTGCACCGCAGACGTGTGCAGTGTAAATTGTCTAAGCATTAATGGTAGGGAAAGCCCCTTATACTGGAGAGCGGCCACGTATGATGTGTTTCGTGGAGGTTATTGTAGGATATCAGACCGAATCAGACAATCTAAGATTTGGTCAAAAACATGATTTAGGCACGAGGAGTCAAAACATTCCACAAGAGGCCCAAGACAACAGGATGTCATAAATCAGACCCGAGCATTAGCCAGTCTGAAGCAAGCCTAAACCACTCTGTCACAGAACAGTTTTCAACATTAACACAAAAGAACACTTATTGACAATTCCAAGGAGATTGTCAATTTTGGGGCAAGTTATCAAGAATAATGGTCAAAAGAGATGCACAGCGTGACCGTCTCATGGAAACATGTGATAGTGATCACAAGCTCTTCGGATTTACTTTTCCCCCCACCTAGGAGACAAAGAACAGACTAAAATTCCTTACAGACATTTTAACCTCTCTGGTCTTCACAGAGCGTATCCTTACATTCACAGAATGGCACGGAAACTGCCTTTCCATGCACCTAAATGACACTAAAAGGACTCAAGCAACTAATCATTGCTATATATATATATCTCCATATTATGTATGCAACCTACATGTGACTTATCAGGTCTTAATCATTTATTGTGAATGTATTTTGAATAACTATTGAATAGTTTAAGAATTGCGATTCATGTTTAGTATGTGTGTGTTTGAATCTTCATGCTAGAAACGTTTATTCTAATCACTTCGTTGTCAAATGTATCATATTCTTATTATAAGAAATCATGTCCAAAATGTATACTCTACCAGAGCGGGAAAAACGCAGATCATGTGAAGGATGAGATAACAGTTGATTTATGAATGGGGAGGAGGAATATACAACGCCCCGGGCAAACACGACATCTAATTGGTCAAAACACCATTTGGGGGTGTTAAACAGCCTGGTTTAAATACTAGAAACACCATCAAACTTAGCTTTTTGGCTTTTTGGTCTTTTGCCTTTTGCCTTTTTGCGGGTCTGACTTTTTGTGTCTAGCTTTTAGCCATGCGGCTTTTAGCTTTTCACTCCTAGTCATGCTTCTTTAGTTTTGAGCGTGCTCTGGCTTACACGCCATCTCCTCCGAAACCATGAGGAGAAACGCCACCTGGTCTCTTTACTTCTTTACTTCTATTTCTATTTCTTTAGTTTGTTTTATTTTCCGTTGAGAGTTTCGTGTTCTGAGTTAAGCCGAACGCCGCATCTCCGAAGAGTGCTGTCTAATCTTCAACTGCAGACCACAGCTCCGCGTCGCCAGCCAACACCCAATCACTGGCTTCCCAAGACTGAACCTCCAGCCAATCAGCAACCTCGGGAAACCCCTTTCAGCAGACAAGGAAGGGAACCCCCGACACAGAAACGCAAGTACCTCCAGAGAGCTGAACTGGTGCATTTAATCTCAATTTTAACCTCATTGAGGAATTCAGTGCGAGGGTTAATTAAGTGATTGATGGTTGTTTAGATCTATGCAATTGCACATATTGCTGTAAACTTGGGATTTCACATTTTCATTCTCTTAAACTAATTATTTTCCTCACTTTCTCTCTTTCTGCAACTTGTGTGTGAATGCGTGTGTTAGATTAGTTTATATGTCTTAGATTTATCCAATAAAGCCTTATTTATATTGAAAAGAGAAGTATCTTGTGTTTTGTGCTCACAAGTTAATGTCTTAAACTGCCGATCTTGTTACATGTGCTAATTAATAGTGTTTTCACTATATTTTGGATATAAATATCCATTGCAGAATTGATGTCATACGGCTCGTTCACTGACTCGCTGGCCGTCTCCGTGATCAGCCGTAAAACAGTGATTCTGTCCTAATTCCCTTACATATTAATGGTGGAGTTCCCTTTAAAATCTTAAATGATTCCCTTTGAGCTAAATTGACCTGTTTCCCTTACATTATAGTACATTGAAGAATAAGCGTTAATGCAGTTTTTTTATTATTATGAAAGTCCGTTGCTCACTGGCTCTGAATAAACATACAGACAAATCATGGGTCACAGGAGGGGTGGGATGTTGATCAGTACTGGTTTGGAATGAGTGTCATCACGCATCTCTACCAATGAGAGCACATGGGGTGGGCCTAAGACTGCAGCAGCGCTCACATGTAGCGCTCATGAGTCACGACTTCATAATTGGGAAACAAGAAGTTTCCGATAGCACATGAAGACAGCAGAGAAGCCTATTGCTCAGCACAGTAGTGTGCATCATTTTGTTAACTTTGTGGCTTATTATTTTCAGTCATTTGGGACGTCGTAACACACGGCCCTCTCACAATAAATTGCTTTACAGATCACTTTTGCCGCTCAGAAATGTTAACGCAATCATGCTACACGTATCAGAAGTTCAGCGCTCCAGCACTACATGCGTACTGCGCCCGAGCCCAACTGAACCACGCTCTGACCCACCTCTTCCAACCAAGCCAGGGACGGCTAAACGAACAACGCCCGAGCACGACACACACTAGTCAAACGAACCGGGCTTTGGGGGTCAAACGTGCTCGGGCACGGTTAAGGTTGCCAAGTGTGAGTACACTCTTAGTGCAGGTCTCTACGCAGAAGGTGCCTGTTATAATGTTATGATCGAGGCTCTGGACTCTGAGCATAACTTGTTTTTCTATAACAAGAAATTTTCTATAAAAACATTAATGCCCTGGCAGTGGCAAATAGCTTTAGTTTTATATTTAATTTGATTGCATTAATGCTATAAGTTGAGATTTACAATAAATATTTTAACTGCTACTATGTAAAAGGAATACTGCTGTAAAAAAGCACCTTATTTATGTGTTTGCAAACCAAATGTTATTGATCTTTTGTTCATATAGCAGTACTTTTAAATGAAAAAAGTGCACAATACACTACTTTTGAATTCATTATTGAATTTTGTGCATAATGCGATTAATCACAGAAAATCATGCGATTAATCGCGATTAAAAATGTAATTGTTGTCCAGTACATATATATACATTTGGGGAATCGGTGTTGTGGGATAAAAATAACTTAAAAACGACTAGAAGAATGATTTTAGGACTAGGAATGCACTTGATGATGCTGTATACTGATGACTTTATTGTGTTTCCAATACGATATTCAAGATTTCTCTCTCTGTCAACACAGTCCTGCATCAAGCTGCAATCAGCCCTCTTCAGCTGAGTCTGATTGTGGTCAGCTGCCATGAGTAGGCCTTAAACAAACACCTTGTGTGCTGTCATTGTTGGCCTGTGCGTTTCAGCACGAGGCTGGGCCACCACAGCCAAGTGTTTCAATTCCTGAAGAGCTTCCAGAAGAAATTAGTATGTAATGACCGCACTCTGCAAGAAGAAAGGCCCATTATGGCTCTCGCTGACTGTACTTGGCTTTCATTTGCAAGCTAAATGGATGCGTGCGAAGGTGAGAGTTCACTTGCCATTCAAGTATTTGGCTTTAACAGGCTCCAGCACTCTTGCTTTAATTCAAGCAGAAGGACAAGTATGAATACTCGCTCTAGATAAGACTCATCAAAACACGGTTCTAGCGTCTGCCTGCCTTTTTTTAACCCCCCGAGCCTCTCGTGAAGCCCGGTGCAAAATGCAAGGAATACTGCTGTAAAAAAGCACCTTATTTATGTGTTTGCAAACCAAATGTTATTGATCTTTTGTTCATATAGCAGTACTTTTAAATGAAAAAAGTGCACAATACACTACTTTTGAATTCATTATTGAATTTTGTGCATAATGCGATTAATCACAGAAAATCATGCGATTAATCGCGATTAAAAATGTAATTGTTGTCCAGTACATATATATACATTTGGGGAATCGGTGTTGTGGGATAAAAATAACTTAAAAACGACTAGAAGAATGATTTTAGGACTAGGAATGCACTTGATGATGCTGTATACTGATGACTTTATTGTGTTTCCAATACGATATTCAAGATTTCTCTCTCTGTCAACACAGTCCTGCATCAAGCTGCAATCAGCCCTCTTCAGCTGAGTCTGATTGTGGTCAGCTGCCATGAGTAGGCCTTAAACAAACACCTTGTGTGCTGTCATTGTTGGCCTGTGCGTTTCAGCACGAGGCTGGGCCACCACAGCCAAGTGTTTCAATTCCTGAAGAGCTTCCAGAAGAAATTAGTATGTAATGACCGCACTCTGCAAGAAGAAAGGCCCATTATGGCTCTCGCTGACTGTACTTGGCTTTCATTTGCAAGCTAAATGGATGCGTGCGAAGGTGAGAGTTCACTTGCCATTCAAGTATTTGGCTTTAACAGGCTCCAGCACTCTTGCTTTAATTCAAGCAGAAGGACAAGTATGAATACTCGCTCTAGATAAGACTCATCAAAACACGGTTCTAGCGTCTGCCTGCCTTTTTTTAACCCCCCGAGCCTCTCGTGAAGCCCGGTGCAAAATGCACTTCACGTTGTGTCTTTGAATTTGTGATTTGCTCACCGTTTGCTGATGTAAACAGATCCCAGTATGATTTTGATGGATCTTTCTGATGTTTAGCTGTAGTTGTGCAGTGATTTTTGTAGGAAAAAGAAAATGCAATAGCCCCTATAAATGTAATTCAGCTAAAATGGTAAGCGATTGTCACCTGATGCTAATACATGAACGGCATTGCCCCCTCTTCCATCAGACAGCTCTCACTCCCTGTTGCATATATAGCCCTCCTAAATGATGTGTGTGTGGCCAATTTGTAGAGAATGACTGTGTAAAAGATGTCTCTTTGTTAGCCCATAATAACCAAGGACGGAATGTTTTATTTAGATACATGAGGGTGCACAGCCAAAAGCGCTAATTCGTGGCCCCGAGGGTGTTCATTTCATGTAATGTATGCACAGGCTAATTTATAACACTGTGACTAATTTCCATTTCTTGTGCTTGGAGTTGCCTTGCTAATTACGGGATTTTTTTCTTTGGTCATTTTTTCTCGACTCTTCTTTCATAATTACAGCTCAGCATTCAGGGAAGGAACTGTTGCAAATGAGATGGGCCTTGCCGTGTTGGGTGACTGATGCACTTCTGCGTCCAGGTGAGCCCAAATCCCTGACAAGATGGGGCCGTTTCACCCCCATCTGCTCCAGTCACTGCTCGCCACACATCTTTGATGTGAGCCGTCCTTGCTTGTGTGACTATACCTTATCCTGTTTCCCAATGATCAGATAGAAACGCCTGTAATTAGCTGGGCGACTTTAATTAGTAAAAAGTTAGCTGTTACATGAAAGCTGCCACATCTGTGATCCTACTGCTGCCTTGGCGTCAGGCTCCCAGGGGTCCCCATCAAAGGGCTCCCTCCCGCTGCGCAGCCCCACTCTAGCATGCTCTCCTGTGCCAAATCAGGCCTGCCGATGCCAAGTGACAGAGCAGAGCGAAGATTCAGACATGAGTTAACTGTGCAAAACAAAAACAGAAAAAAGAGGAGGACTGAACACATCACTTCGGTCTTTCTTGTCTCTCGTTAGGCGAGGAACACGAGGCAGACACAAAAGGATCTGAGGCCAAACAATGTCACTTAACAAGACATCACTGGCTCATCATTAGCAATTTGCCAGGGCATAATTTGTTCCTCCCCTCACATAATAGGTGTCTTGGGATGTTGTGAATGGCCTTCCGCTTGTTTCGCTGTTTATTTTTCTTGGCCCGAGTCTCAGAAGCAAACTTGCCACCTATGGCGATGAGCAGGACGGTGCTGTTGTGATTTAGTTTCAGTAAGTAAGACCTCCTTTAATTAACTCCCAAGCTCATCCTCTTTCATTTAGGTATCGATTTATCTATTTTACTTGAGAAAACAAGCGACTGTCAGACACATATCTTGAAATGGTAGCCGAAGGAAGATTAAAAGCACGATTTCGATAAAAGGTTACGATTTCAGACCGCTTTATCGTGGATGGCATTTTTGAACCCTATTACCCCTTGGGAAGAATTACAGAGGCTGTGAGATGCTGCATGCCCTTTTTCTTTTGCTTTCCATGCCTGCTTCGTTCTCTCTGCCCTCGTCTCTCTCTCTCCCAGTCATTTTCAAGAACAGCTGCATTCTGCTATAGTTGTGCTAAATATGCTTAAATTGCTTGACGTGTATCACTGCCATTAATCAGAAAGAGAAAGGCTTTTAAATTCATTGTGCTTGCATCCTGTTTTCTCCACAGATGGTACAGACAGGGTTCTAGAAACCAGCTCGCGCTCTGTCTGCCTGTCCCATCGCTTCCTATTCTGTGGGCCTTTTGTCATCAACAGACATTGAGCTGCCATTTATATTCAACAGACACGTGCACTGAGGAAAAAGGCATGCCAGCTCATAACAACAATAAATGATTGCACAGCATTAAACCGACAGCTTCTTCTGTCACTTTGATTGTGAGACGCAAAAGCAGATTATTGCAGAGATTTCTTACATTCCCTGCTGTGAACACCAGAATGACACTTAAAATATAATGATGTTTATAACCACGCTCATTAGCACGGCTGTGTCTCTTCCGTAGAAATAATACTCCTCTTCATGGGAGCCAAACATATTTAAAATTGCAGCAGAAGAGAAGGCAGTTATTTTGAGAACACAGAGAACGGGCAGTCTGTTTTTTCCTGATTAGAATGCATACTTTAGGAAATGCCATGTACAGTTAGAGAGGAGAATGCTGCGTTTCAGGTTCACTTTGTGGTAAGTGTGAATGTATCATTATCAGATTTCCATTTGTAATGCAGCTTTAAATGATATTGACGCCTTTTAAACAAAAACATTTTCTATTATAGCTACACCTCTACTTAAATATAGAGCAGAAACTGTTATCATGGCTCATCAGTATAAGCAGTGACAGGACAGAAAGTACATGCAAAATAAAAATAATAATTTTATATTTAAAACTGAAGGCAAAGAACTGTTGTCTTATGATAAGAAACCAAAACACGTCTTGTAATAGTCTCTGCATGACCTGCAAACATCCCTGAGAGAACAAACTCATCTTGTTCTCTCAAATGTTCTGAACTGAACCGAAACTGAATTTGTACTGTATAAGGGGCCAGTGTTATAGTGTTGACAGTGATTAATAGCGGAGGAGACATTGGTGTAGTACTGTTTGTGCAAAAACAATCTACTTCCCTTCAAAGTGCATGATCACAACTGTTGTTTGTTGCACTTTGTGGCAGGGAGATAGTAGACAGTAGACATAAAGCATTTCCTAAATGATTCTTTGTCTACACAGACATAAGAAAGTACTGATTGTGCTGTCAGTGTAAACCTTTATTTATATAGCACTTTATGCAATACAGATTGTATCAAAGCAGCTTTACAAGTGTCAAACGGGAAAGTAGTTTATCAATAATGCAAGAGGACAATAACAAATAGTATTTTTTTTCAGGTAAGGTCAGTTCATTGATGATTCAGTGATGTCATCATCCAGTTCAGCTCTTTTCCAATAGTGTCTGTGCAATCAAGGACTATAATGTGAAGGGCTATAATGAGATGAGTTTGCTGAAGTACTGAGGAGCTAAACCATTCAGGGCTTTATAAGTAATTAGCAAGATTTTAAAATGTACACAATGTTCAATAGGGAGCCACTGC